CGTGACCCTGAGTAGCTGCTGGGGCTCAGTCCCCAGGTAGCAGTTCTTGCAGCTTCAGGCAAATTGCAATAAGGGTTCCATGTGAAAAGTCAGTGGTGAAATCCCTTCCAGCCTCATAGCTGAAAAGCAAGGAAGCGGCAGAAATGATTAAGTGAGCTGCATTGACTATCTCAGTGTACTACACCTTTATGCCTTGTAAGACAGTGGTTTTGCACAGCGATTGCTTTGGACCCTCCCAGTTTTAGGCCTGGTTCTGGTTTGTGCTGAGCACCTTTAAAACCCATGCGTTCTGTTGGTGGGAAAAGGGGAAAATTAAAGTATGATAATAGCAGCATGGGAGCATAACTCACCAAGGCTAACGGGAGGGGTGTTTCTCTCTTAAGCCTTTCAGTAATGGACTGGTGACAGTGATGGTCCCCCAACTCCGCCGGGAGAACAGTCTCCTTCTCTGGAATGTCTTTGACTTGAACACGCCTGTCCACACTTTTGTGGGACATGATGATGTGGTGCTGGAGTTTCAGTGGAGGAAGCAGAAAGAAGGTGAGTTCAGGGGTGGATGTGCTGTCTCCCCTGTGCTGCGACTGTCAGCTAACTGGGGCTGTAGAGGCCTGGCTCCTGGCTGTGATGCTTATGCTATCGCCATTTGACTCTTGCCTTTCCTTGGAGTAGCTCCTACTCCCTTTCCTGCCCTCTCTCAAACTACAGCTGTTTTGTACTTGTTTTATGGCAGTGCCCACAGAAGCATTGCCCTGTTGTTTCCATGCTAACAAAGCAAATCCACCAAATGCTGAGTGGGTCAGTGGTGACTCTAATTACTTCCACTCTCCTCTGAATCTATTTTTAAATGGATCTTTCAGAATAAATTGTAGAAACTATTAAATGGCTGCACGAGTGCAGGCACCCTCCCCCTGCTCAGAGCTACAGGCTAACACCAGTTAACCCCTCACATCACTGCCTGCACCAGCAGCCTCCAGTATATCCCAGACCACAGACCCAGCTAACCCACCTTATCTGTGTGCTGACAGACACAGGAGGAAGAGTGTGGGATAAAGAGACTGCTGTTAGAGTTCAGTCCTGACTACATTTTCCAGCATAGGCAGCTAAATGTAGGAGATTCCATATTAGAGGCTGGATAACTACAGAGAGCACAGCTTTGTTTCCAGCAGCACAGCTACCATTGACAGAACATGCATGTCTGGCTTTGCTTGTGGTACGGTTGGAGTGCTGTGTAAAAGTTCTGGTCCAACCCTCTGCCACCAGCTACTGGGGCAATTCGGTTGTTACCTTCTTCTCTATACCTTGCTTTTCCCCTTTCAGAAAGGGGAGAGTGATATAGAACCGTGTTAGGACCTGGAGGTGCAGTCTAAGACAGCTTGTGAATGAACATTCAAGCAGGCTTGAACCACAGTTGTGTTGTCTTAGCTGAGCTAATAGATATATGTCCAAGGCTGGAAGTCACGCTCATCTCAAGCAACATAAATCAATCATACAAGCATTCTAAATCCGCTTCAATGTGAAGGCAACCAAGGTAGCGCAAATCTCCTTCCACAGAGTCTGCTGTGCTGGATTTAGACAGCCCCTGTGCCTCAGCGGAGGGGTGTAGGAAGCAGCTGTGCAGCAGCAAATTCTTCAGCGTAGCAGCTGTTTGACAAGGGAAACTTAAACTGTATCACAAGGCCTAAACGTGGACATAAATAAGTCTGTGTACCTTTATCTGTTGATAGATAATATGTCACTAGATGTATTTCATTACAACCTGAACTTGTCTTGGAATTATCCAAGTCTTTCAGAAGGAAAAAGGAGGAGGGCAGAAGCAGCTTCTGTTAGCTTAGAAATGTTTTAAAACATCTGCATCTTGAAGCAGATATGATGAACTAAAAGTTATTTTGACTTTACGGTTATCATAAAAATAAATGTTTCTCAACTGTATTATTTCATCTATTTAAATAAGTATTGTAGTTGATCTTTTTCATTCCCAGTTGGAAAACTTGCATCACAGTCATTATACTTGCTTTGTGCTTTTTGCCTGTAAGTTATACTCCATTTAGAGGTGCGGTAACCGTAGTGCCAGGAGGCATAAAGGCTGATGGACCTAGATCAATTCAAAGCAGAAAAAGACTCGCTCTGCCTTTCGGTTTAGTGCCTTATCCATTGAATCTCCCTGCTGGCTTGCTCGAATCTGTTTACACTAAATGCAGGGCTGAGATAGACCCCACTGAAAACAGAGACTGTAAGTTGTTTCTGTCCTTTTTAGGTTCTAAAGACTACCAGCTCGTTACATGGTCCCGTGATCAGACTCTGCGGATGTGGCGGATTGACTCTCAGCTGCAGAGGGTACGTAAACGCTTTTGTTCTTGAACTGTAGACAGTTTTCTTACAGGCTGGATTCACCTCCGTTTCCTTGCACTCCCAGTCACTCCTCTGATACCCTAAAGGTGCAGACACAGCAGCCAGCTGCTGCTTCACTTTCCTCTTCAGCTCCAGCCCAGAAACATCCCCAAGGAGACCTGTGATGAGGCCTCTCTGTGTCTGTGCCTCAACGGCTTCTGTGGAAGCACAAGGCCACCTTGTTGCATAACAGTAAGTGTAGAAGTCATTTGGGGAAGGTGGAGATCGGTTACTGCCTGCATTGCCCCTGAAGATGCCACCTCCATGGCTGCAAGACCTTATGACTCTTTCTTGGCATTTTAGATATCAGGTAAAGGTAGGGATTGTGCCCTCCACTTCCTCCCCTTGTTTCCATTGCCCCTTAGCCCGGTGCAGGCAGTGTTGAATCCTGTTGTTCTGTGGTCTGGCAGCAGTTACAAATTGCTGATGCAATTACTAGAACAGTTGTGCTGGGTCAGACCAGAGGTTCATGTGGCCGTGATGCCCTGTATTGCCCTGGCTCATCTTCAGCTGTAGATGTCTTGGAAAGGGATAAGAACGAGGCAGGTATGGAGTGATTCTTTGTATTTGACAGAGCTTGATGAGTTTCACTTCCATAGATTTGACCTGTCTTTTCTTGGACCTGTGTAAATTTTTGTCACCTTAAACATCCTATCAACAAGGAGTTTCGTGGCTTTTCTGCATGTTGTGTAAAAAAAACCAGCTCCTTTCATTTGTTTATTTTGCAACCTGCTAGTTTCATTACATTGGAGATGAAATGAGCAGCCATCTTGTCTGTGCTACTGATGATTCAGTAGACTTCCATCATATCCCTCCTCAGCTGCCTCCTTTTTCAAATCAGAAGGTCTTGATTTACTTCATCCTTTGTACAAGAAATTTGATTAACCTTTTACCTTTCATGACCCTTTTTCAGTTCTACTGTATACTTTTTGGGATGAAGATCAGAACTTTTGTTCTTTCCAAAGAATTCTCAGTGCTCAGTTTGTTTTGTTTTTTTTTTTTAAATTGTCGGGCATAATTCCATGAAAACATCAGCTTAGTCTGGCCTCTACATCTTGTTCCCTCAGTCAGCTTGAACTTGCCCGTTTTCCCCCCTAAGTGCATTGCTTTATATTTATATGAACTGAAGTTCATCTTTCATTTTAATACAGTTACTCCTGTAAGGTCCTTCTGTGATAGTTTGCAGTCAGCCACTCTTGTTACTACCCTGAAAAACTTGGTGGCATCAGCAAACCTGGTCATGTTGCTATTCACCTCCCATTCCAGGTTTTTAATGAATATGTTGAGAAGCATGTGTCCCAGCACAGATCCTGCAGGAGTCCTGCAGGTCTGTAACAAACTTTCTCTGTGAAAAATGACCCTTTACTCCTACCTGATATATTTGTGAATGTTTGATTTCTTTCCCACCTTTAAATCATGTTGATCTGTGCCAGAACCTTTACTCTTCCTCTGCTGGCTTCCACTCTTTTGTCTTTGCCTGGATCAAACTACGCACCATGGCATGTTGCTGGTGACAAATGCTGTAGTTTGCTACGTTGCACCCTTATCCTTTCTCTTCCCTGTGTTTCTTCTCTTCATCGTCCCCGTTTTCTAGTGCTGAACTTAAAATACGGGTTTTCATGGTCTCTTTTGAATACAGGACCTAGAACACTAGGGCCCCTAATGTGTACCTGAGTCTCTAGATCCTCCTGGAAAGTAAATATCAAAAGCAGAAAGTGTGCTATTATTACATCAGATCTAAAAAATTTAAACCAGTTTTGACAAATTAATTCAAGGAATTAAAGTAATATCAGCTTTAGATTTGATTAAACCTCTGTTACTTAGACTGGCTCTGTCAATTAAGTGGCTTTGTAAGTGAGCGGGAGCTTTGGCCCAGACTGGCTGAGGTGATGGTGCTGAGGATGCTGGAAAGTGGAAGATCACCTGTCTTTGTCACAGAAGCAATGCCGAGGTCTTAGTCATGACTGTTACGTGGACAGACCTACCTTGCAAATCCAGCTCCCTGGAGAAATGAGTCGTTTAGTGGTGGCATTTTCCATAGCTTGGTTTCTGTTGTGCAGCATGTGGGTGTGTTTGTTCTTTTCAGCTGTGCGCTAATGATATCCTGGATGGAGTCGAGGACCTAATTGATGGGATTTCTCATCTGCCAGAGCCGGACAAGACCCTTCACCCCCAGGACTCGGAGCCCCAGCATAACTCTGGACATGGGGATGAGGAAGGTGAGACAAGCGATGGGTCGTAGAACATCAAACACCAGCTCTGTTTGTGTTAGGAAGAAGATGCATCTTGGCATAAGAAAATAACATCGTAGGCAAAGCACAAACTGGTGCTATTTCAAAGGTTAATAGATTCCCCATCTGGGAGGAGGGAAAACACTACAGGTTTCTCAGGATGGTCCTCCCAAGTTTTTTCTCCTCTAACACAATGATTCTAGCTGTAAAGTGAAGCTCCTCCTTGTCACCAATATCATTTAATTACATTCTCTTTAGGTCATAGTTGTGAATTGCTGCCAAAACTAAGGCAATCAGAAAGTAAGTTCTGGCTCTTAAGAAGGTAGATTAATTTAAGCCGAGAGATGAGCCCACAGAAGAGAGGAGCATATGGGTAAGGCACTCTGACACAAGCTGCTTACATCACACCTGGTACCTAAACACTTCTGGGGTCACTGTGCAAACTCATCTAACATGGACGTGTTTGCTGGTGTCATCTGCTGTCCAGCAGAAGTAGGATGAAGAGAGCTCATGAATTTTTGTTCATGTATTGATGAGAGGTGGCTGAGGGCTGGCAGAGCAGAGTGGGAGGGATGGTATCTCTGACTTGTGAGTACCAGATGGGTGGATGGGAACAGGTCAGAGGCTTTAACAGAAAGCATTGATTTGGCTTTATGGAAGAGAAGGCAAACAAGGAAGGATTGCGAAGGAGGGTTTATGTGGTTAAGACTCTGGTCAGGTTAAACATTCAGGGTGTTAGTGTTTGAAGAGTGTAAGTACCAGAATAGGAGAGATTGCAGCAGCCGAGACCCGTGGTGGTGATGTGCATGTGAGAAAGCTATCGAAAGAGAAGATTTCTAGATCTAATACTGAGGAAGAAGAATTGGGTACTCCTGTGTGTTTGTATCAGCTTGGGTTTAAATTCACAGTTCCTTTCTGTATTGTAGCAGGGTGCTACAATGGATCCTCGTGTGAGGGGCTTACAGGAAAGCAATTTGATTCTTCCTTTCACTTGCCAACAAACTGGAGAGAAGGGAGGGGAAATGGTCTAATATCTTTCCTTTGAATAAAGGAACCAGCTGTGAGGTCTCTTAGGGAAGGCATCTCTTCCTAACTGAAAGCTTCCTGCCCAGCAAATCCCAGTGAAGTTCCTCTCTGCCACTTGTCCCATGTGGCAGCAGAACAAGTTTCTAAAAGTCATCAGCACCTCTGTCTGCATGAGAGTTTTATGATATGATAGAAAAAGCCCTGGCTACCGGTGCTCACCATGAGCATGGGGAAGCATAGCCTCTCTTGCTCCAGCTGGGAGCATTGAATGTTCTCATTCTGGCTGCCTGACCTCTCTTTTTCCACAGGAGAGAGTTAACTCTTTCAGTGTCCCTGATAAGGTCACATTCATACGTCCTATGTGGTTTCTGTGTGGGTCTGGCTTTGGTTCAGACTGGTGGGGTTTCCCTTGCGGCTAATGGGGATGAAAATGGCTTTTCTGTAGCAGGGTAGGTTTTTCTGCAAATACCATGACTGCAGGATTAATGCACAAGCAAATCCCTAGGTAGGAATTTCAGTTCTTTCTAGGCTAAGAGCTATTATGGACTGTTGATGTTTCACCCTGGAGGTGCCTGCATTTCAGCTGCAGACAAAGTCTCTGTGTTATATTAGTCAAGCACTTTAGGGGATCTTTGAAGAGAACAGAGCTCTGCAGATAAATCAGAAAGCCCACCAGCTGTGTTTTCAACATACAGCTCTCCTCACTGGCTGCTGCCTATGAAGGATCTTTAGGAATCTAGACAAATATGTGGACTTTTGAGGATTAGAAACTAATTGGAAGGGAATGGGAGGAGAAGACAAAAGGAGAGTACTGCCCATATTGGGAACCTCAGAGATGGCTTTTCAGTAAGCTATGTGGTGTCTTAAGCTAGAAATAATTATCTTCCCTGAGAGCCACTGATCTTCCTTTAATCCCTTTTTCAGCTCCCTTTTGTGAAGTATATCTAAGCGCTACAGTAAAATTGCAAACAGGAATGAGTAGCTAAGCATCCTACCTATCCAAATTCAGCAACCCGTTGGGCAGCAGTAAAACCAGATACATTTATCCCAGCAGCAAAGTCAGTAACTTAGGCAAATGCCTGTGAAAGGGCATCTTTTTTCATTTCTTGTCATTTATTTTTTGCTAGGAATAGTCTATGCAATATGATATTGTAAGCGTGAGAATGACGGCTGAATAATTGGGACTTCCCTTACGTCCTTGGAACCATCATCAAAAAATACATTTAGTCATCTTCGGAAGCGGTGCCACAGCCAAACACCCTTCAGAAGGAGCTACCCCTGCTCTAATGGGGATACACAGCAAGATACGAGGCAAAAGCCAGGCATGACCACAGGCAGAAACCAATTCTTCTGAAACTCAGTCAAATTTGCTGCCTTAATCATAATTCCTTGTGTCCTGCAACACTTGCCTGGCTGTTTAAATGTATTCTGGCCTTCAGGGGTTATTGTCCTCCTGAAAACTGTTGGAACTGGACAGCTAGACCCAGCATTTAGATGAGTCTTTAGAGACCATTAAAGCATTAGAGTGCTTTGCAACGTTAAATGCAAACGGCCGCTACAAATGAATTAAGCCTCTACTATGGCCAGAAATACCCTCTTCTCTCTCCCAAAACCTTATTATGCTTTGGAAACATTCCCTGAAAGCCAAGAGTGGTGGGATGTGAGTCCCAAAGACCAGAGCTCCTCCTGGAGACTGCTTTGGCAGCAGTTCTTTACCGCTGAACCAAGAGGCTCCAGTTCAGCTGTTTGTCTCTGGCAGTACTGTGTAGGGAGGGGAAGGGGTCTCAAATGAATAGAGACACACCATTTAGGGCTGTACAGAGTACAGGCAGCTTCTGTAACTTTCCTGGGAAACCGGTGTGCAGACAGGTTTGGTTTTTTCAAAGAGCAAAGCTCAGAAGCCTACCTCTAACAACTGAGAACCTCCAGCTCGCAGGTCTTTGCCAGGTAAAACTCATACCTCCATGTGTGAGAAGAGCAGAGGAAAGCCTGCTATCTTGGCTACCTCCTGGCATTGCGTGCCGAAAGTCTGTCCGTTATAGCTTGGCTCAACCTGTTCTCCATCTTTTCTGTCAGCCTTAAAAGAAGATTTCCTGAATGATCCCCTGGTGGGAAAGAAAACGGACCAACTGGGGCTGCCTCAAACCCTGCAGCAGGAGTTTTCACTGATCAACGTGCAGATCCGAAATGTCAATGTGGAGGTAGAGAGTTTCCTTTTGCTGGCTTGTTAGGAAGAGATGTGGGCAGGCAGGCTCATTGGAGCCTTTAGAGGGGAACCTTCTTTGCTGCAGTGACTGTTGTCTGTAAACAAGGTTTATTTTGAGCTGTAGAGATCCTCTTGGCCAGGGGTAGTAGGAAAGAGGATAATCCCAGACACTGGGAGTGAGGGAAGTGTTTCAGCACGGTAAATACACTGGCTGGTCCCAAGAAGGCTGGCTAGTGTTTTCCTCTCTGCTAGACTGCAGAGTAGAAAGTGACTTGTTCCACTACATGCAGCTGATCTCATTTCAACTGTTTATGAACCCAATCTGCTGAGCCCTCCCTATCCTGCACTCTCTTCCTCAGTTTTGGCTTCTCCCTTGCACGCCAAACCCTCATCTGTGCGTGGAAGCTGACTGGAGGCACAGCACTGTACTGGGATGGGAGGCGTGGGGTAGCTGCCTGTCTCCTTTCCCTGCCCCTGTGTTTTCACAGCTCATGGCATGATCCTGATGCATTTTTCTGAGACAGTGATGTATGATCTTACATGGTGCCTATTGCTGCTGCACTGGGCCTGGGGCTCTCCACAGCCAAGTGAAGTGGAGGCTGGGGAGCAGAGCCTGATTCCTGGCGCTACCTGGGCTGGCTGTGGTCTCCAGATGCTGGACTGGCAGTCTGCTGGTGCGAGCCAAATCTGTCCCCATCTGCCTGGGGTTTTTTGCTGTCACTGTGTTCGCTGCCCTTGAGAACAGCGTGACTTCGTCTTATGGGTGTGCAGAGGAATCGGATCCTGAACATGAATTTAAGCCACTATAAATTTAAAAGTCCTTGGAGATCTAACTACAGAGCAATTGCTTTTCCTCACAGATGGATGCGGTGAGTCGTAGCTGTACGGTGTCGGTGCACTGCGGCAACCACAGAGTCAGGATGCTGGTGATGTTCCCTGTCCAGTATCCCAATAATGCTGCACCATCCTTCCAGTTCATCAACCCAACCTCAATCACCGCCTCCATGAAGGCAAAGCTGCTGAAGGTGTGTGGGGAGTATTTGCTGTCTTTATACAGATGCTGGACACTTGATGTCTAGATTACTGACACAATAAAACATCTGATCTTGCTGAAGACATGCCACGGGTCACCTTGAACTGATACACTGTGGAGTTCCTAGGGTATTTGCCATTCTCCACCGGTGCTTTTTAAACTTGTGTTCTTCACTGCTACTCTATTCCAGTGTGACGTGTATTGCCTGAGGATCTCTAACATCCTTCTCCTCATGCAGTTGCCCCCAACCCCATAAAAAACAAAATGACCCGCTAAGCAAGATAATATTTTTAGTATTTTTGAGCTGATAATATCTCTGCTTCCTGCTCTCCTCCACAAACTGCTTTAAAAATGAGGGGACTTTTTACAGAGGCCTCACTAATTCCAGACCAAGTGTTTGATCATCTGGTGTAGGAAGTCCTATTGCTGTTGAAATCGCTTTTTCAGCAGCAAGTCGATGGATCAGTTTGGGTTCCTTCCTGAAAAAAAACTGATCCAGTTTGCCACAAACTGGTATGGAACATATGGGCTACAGTAGTATAGAAGCCCAAATCCTGGCTCAGTGTGCTGAATCTAGGTGAACCCTCAGTGCTCTGATCAAAGCTCGCAGCTGTTCCTCAAAGCAGACAACACACCAGTGGGTCAGTGTAGCTACAGGGGATGTCTTTGGCCTCTCTGGATCCCTGGCATCTTAGCTGCTCTGCAGACAAAAAAGGATGTGGAGAAAGTCTGGATGTAACCATGATTCAAGCTGTATCTTGTATGTATTCCAGATGCTGAAAGACACTTCTCTGCAGAAAGTGAAGCGGAACCAGAGCTGCCTGGAGCCCTGCCTGCGTCAGCTGGTCTCCTGGCTGGAGTCTGTTGTGGTATGGAGAACTGCGTGGGCTTTCTGCCCTAGTTTGTTGTCTTCTCCCACGTCCTATACTTCTGACTCTGCAGTGAGAGTCCAGCCTCCTTAGACATGTAAATAGACCCCTGTGACTGGCTGTTACATTTGTGTAAGCACTTCTGGTTAATGTTGAAGAAACCTGAGTGGATGATTAGAGGTGTTTTGTTTCTGAAAATCAGACCTTGAAGGTTTACTGCTTTGGGGAATTGTGCATGCTCACTGATACTCAGGTTAGCAGGAACGACTGGGGGTTGGAGCATCTTAGTGGTGCATGGTAGCTTCCCCGCTCAGAGTGTATCTCACCGAGTGCCAGGGCATGGTTATCATCTGTAAGAGAAGATAAGAGGCCTCAAGGAGCTGATGGGTTCATTCTTGTCTGAAAGGCAGCGGCAGATGTCTTTACCTCCTCAGTTCTAGTCAAAGATTCTGCTAATCCTATTCTAGGGTCTTTGTTTTCTTCCCTTAAAAAAAAAAAACCAACTGTGAAAGTCTGTTTTTTCTGAAGCCTTGTGCTGAGGTTTTGTAGGGATGATACTGCAGATAAATCTAAATCACACCCTGCCCTTAGCCAAGAGATCTGTGATACCTACTCAGCATCCCAGTGTCAGGTATTAGGTCTCTGTGTGGGTGAAGTGTACCAGAGTGGGCGTTTTTAGCATTCAGGAAAAGATTGGAGAGTCTCCTCAGGTTTCTTTTCAGAGAGGTTTTGTTTGTTCATCACAAATAAAGGGCTTTTTTTTCTTTTTTTTTTTTCTTTTTCTCCTACATGGAAAGGCTTAATTCTGTTTGGTTTCAGCAGTAATGTTGTAAGAGCGGGAACTTCCGTCATTGTATGGAAATCTGATGATTCAAGCCAGGCACCAGTGCCTTTGAAAAATTCCTTTAGACCTAAGCTGTAGTACTCTTTATCCAAATAAATGCAGATTTCTGCCAAGACTCCAATGGATAAGCCTGAGGTCCCCCAGTATTTCACACCACCTGCCATCCTTACTTCAAGACTCCCAACCTGTATTTGACCCTCCACAGCTGTGTGGTATTCACATTTAAGGAGACTTTGTCTCACAAATTGTTGAGGTATCAGATTTAGCTCAGTTCCCTGTCTTGAGAGTCATATCCAGTCTGAAGGTCAGCTTTTCTGTATAGTTTCCCGCTGTTTCACCCTAAGTTAAGCTCTGCATTTCAAAACAGCTATGGTGGGAGAGAAATCTCTGGACAAGCAGCCAGAGAAGCCCTTTCCTCAAAGGTAGATGCGCTTGCAATTGCCTTTGCAGCCAGAGTAATAACCACGCTCTGTGCTTGATCTGCTCTGGCTCAAAGGACGAGCACCTTCTGTGAGGCTGCTTGGTGCTGCGATGTCCAGTGCTCTGGCTGGGTTTCCTTCCTGTGGCAGCGGGAGTGTGACCTTGGGTAACTTCTATTTCAGAACCAAGAGGACAGCACGTCCAGCAATCCCTACGCTTTGTCAAACTCCGTAACACCCCCCTTGCCCACGTTCGCCCGGGTCTCCAATGCCTATGGCTCCTACCAGGACTCTAACATCCCATTTCCACGGACCTCTGGAGCCAGGTTCTGTGGTGCAGGTTAGCCCCATTGCTGATATGTTACAACAGCTACCCGGGGAAGGGTCCTTTTCATGTCTTGGGGAACACTTGCCTCTGAACCAGAGGAGGCTTTGGTTGCTGCCATGCAATGAGTAAGAAATGGTGTTGAAGTAGCGCTGTTGTGATAAATTTATAGATAAGGAGACTAGTTAGCAGCTGTTTGCAGTTGGTGTTGCACGTGGGATTTTAGGATTTGGAAATCTAGGACCAGTTGAAGAGATGGTTCTTGGCTTGTGGCATGCCAGAGGTATTGACAGACCTCTCTTTCACAGACAACTGAGAATAGCTGTACTCCTTGCCTCATTTTCTCCTACCAGCATCAAACTGCTGGACACATTCTGACACTGAGACTTCACGAAATTCCCATGATTTGGGGTTGAACTTACCCCTTGCTGAAACCATATTCTTGTTACTAAACAATCTTTCCTCATTCTGCACCTTTTCTGTTGTCCAAAATAGCTTTCCTGAGGTCATTGGGAAACTTCTCCTAAATGGGAGATGGGGTACAATCACGTCCAGGTTTCCAGGAGAGCGTACAGTGCAAAGATCATCCTTAAAAACCAGGTTAAGGTCTGAGTAAGAGCTGTTAAGTTTCACTGAGCTGTTTCAGATGCAAGCATGCCTCCTCCAGACCTGACCACATCCCAATTTGAGCATGTTTTGAAAGCTGCTTTTCATACAGGCCTCACCGAATTCCCAGCAAAAGTAAAAGAGAGTAGTGTTGCATTGAATAGGCTCAGTGAAACCTGCTAAGTCCTGAAACTCTTGCAAGAGTGGGTGGCTGAAGACACTTGAGGTGCTAACAAACGGGTTAAGGCTTGTTGAGAGTGAGCGCTTTGGAGTTGGCTCCAGATGGCTGGGGTTATCCTTTTGAAGAGGAGAGTTGTACAAGCTGCAATGGTTCCGCTGCGTAGCCAAACATCACCTCACTTGCCTCTGGAGTATTAGTGCTTGACAAGTTCTGGTGAAGAGTTAAAACATGAGTGTGTATCTGTTCATTTTCTTTTACTGTCTTTTCTCTAACATCTGTAAGCCACTTGAGATTGTGCTTTTAAGACAATCGTCTCAACAAAACTGCTCTTTAATGGGTTTGCAGGGAGAGGATTTGGGTTGAGAAAAAGCAGTTGTCTACTTGTAGTGTAAAAGCGCTCAGGGTAGTGGATAGGCACCCAGCCCCTTGACTCCGATACCTTAAGTGACCACGTTTCCCTGTGTAAACCACCCCTGGGTAATCTACTCCTCACTGCATGATCTTTATGCCATGTCCTGTCTCTTCAGGGTACCTGGTGTATTTCACAAGACCTATGACCATGCACCGTGCGGTATCCCCGACGGAGCCCACACCTAGGTGAGAACCCTGTGTCGCGTTTGAGGTGTGCTGCTCTCATGGGCAGGAAAGCAGGAGAATATTTGAATTTGAAGTGTGCTGATGTCATGGGCAAGAAAGCAGGAGAATATCTGATCCTGTGCTGGAGCTACTGACCTCTAGTGTTAGCTGTGCCCTCGACACAGAGAGCATGGTCCCTTCTATCACTGGTCCTCAGCAGAGACTCTTTTCAAAACACCGAAAACATTGCTAGCACCTTGGGTTAGTGGAGTTGTCAGTGCGAGCCTCCAGGGAAATTTGGTGGATGAAAGCTCCTGAAAGTGTATTCTCTTGTTTCCAGGTCCCTGTCAGCTTTATCAGCGTACCATAGTGGCCTCATTACTCCGATGAAGATCCGCACAGAGACTCCAGGCAATCTGCGTTTATACAGCGGGAGTCCGACACGCAGTGAGAAGGAGCAGGTCTCCATTAGCTCCTTCTACTACAAAGAGAGGGTAAGTATCAGACCAAAAAGCCTTTCCTAACACTTCAGCTTTTGTGATCTGTATTCCTTTCATATAGCTGAGAGCATTGCTAGTAACAGAAGCTTCACGTTCCTCTAAAGAAGGTATCTTTCTACAGGCAGCTCTGTTAAAATGTCAAATGAATTTATCTCCTATGAGTAACGTCTTTACTGATACTCTCTAGCACCTGACCTGCTAATTTTGATATTTCTCTACACTGACCATCACAGCTCCCTTCAGTGCATTACACTGTCTCCTGTTGTGTTACATAGGGTTAAAATCTCACACTTAACAAGTTGTAGTCTCCAGATAAGTACATGTAGGCAGCTCTGCTTTTCTCAGTACTCCCTGGTGTATATAACTGCAAAGGGTTGTGGCTCTCTGCAGCTTACTGACAACCTCTCCTGGATTATGGGGTGTATTTGGTTATTTCTGTTACAGGTGTCTCTTTCAGGTATATACGTCCCTTTGGACTTTTTAAAAACAAAAATCATTCCTACATGATTCTCCAAAGATCTTCCAATCCACATATTTCTGGTTTAGGTGTAGGTCTTGCTGTTGTGGCTGTTTCCAAGCAAAGCTTTGGGGGGGGAGAGTGGGATTGTTTCCTTCTGGAAACCTTCCTGGGGGTGAGGAAGACCTGTTGGTAATTGTAGGGTGGCCGTAGGGTAGTTCTGAAGCAGCTCAGGGCACAGTATGCTTGGAGCAGATGCTCTGGGAGTAATAGACTGTGCAGCTTGCTCGGAAACCAACTGTGATTCAGCAGGGGGTGAAGTGGCTTGAAAAAATATGGTAAGCTTCCACCAAGAGCCCAAGAATTGCGGGCATTTGAGTAGTTCGCCCACTGTCCTTGCCGAGGGCACTAAGCTGCTGCCACAATGGAGAGCTTCCAGGTACCCCAAGGAAAGTCAAGAGCTATCTGCCCTCGGCTGCAGCGCAGCTTGGGAACTCCTGTCCCAGGAGCAGAGGGAAGGTCAGAGCCTTGAGCGCTCATCCTTCCTTGGCACTGAAAGAGGTCTTGATTTTCCAGTAGTGCTGGACATGACAGCCGACGCCTCTGGGATCGTGTCCTGCTTACGTGACCCGAGTTAGCCGTTACAGATCCCAGCCATGGGGAGAGCCTCTGTCCCCGTCGCAGGCTTTGCCTCTATACAGACCCCAGAAGGTTCTCAGAGTCCCCATTCTGATTTTTTCCCAACAAAACTTCTTTGTGAGAAGAGAAAATGGTGCTGCCTGGTACAAGAATTACAGCCTGTTCTAGTCTTTGCAGGAGAGTTTATTTAAAGAGCTACCTCTGTCCTCTGCAGCGTGCTTGTCTCTGACACGCAGCACTCTAAGATGACAGACAAGGCTAAAAATAACATGTGGAAGCAGCTTGGTGCAATTTCATGTGACCTGTCTCCCCAGCCCTTGTATTGATGGCGACAAGACTTTTGTCACAGGGGAAAAAAAAAAATTTGGGAGAACAAAGCATGTGTGTAGTCATGTCTGCTGAAAGCCAGAGAAAATTCCTGTGTTCCCCTTCCCCCTGCCAAGCTATCTCCTCGTGTGCTGGACTGGCAGAAGTGTAAGGGCCCTAGGAGGGAGCTAGCTGGAATGTTCTTGCAGATGAAATAGTTTAAAAAAAAAAAAAAAAAAAACCAAAACCAACAACAAAAAACCCCACAAAACTACAAAAACCAAACCTGTATCTCCCTTTAGCACAAGTTTTCTGATTCTTCAGGAGTTGATGTCATGGCCTTTGTAGATCAATGCTACATATTTTTATGTCATTTCATTGTGAGGATTTTAAAAAGCCCAGACTCTGAGTTTAGTTCTCCTTGCTCTGAAGCTTGGATTTTATATTTGCATTAAATAGAAGTTGCAATTTTGTATGTTAAACTCATGTTATATAACTTCAGCCCCAAAACTGAATTTGTCAACGATAACCAGGTATTTAAATTCTGTGTAGCATCCACCGGCATTGCTACCATTAGCAGACAAATAGAATTTGCTTGCTGCTAGACAGGAAAT